TCCTATGCGATCTAAAGTTAACTAGGAGCTGCAAGAGTGAAAGATAAAGAAAGAAGAAAAAAAAAAACGAAGGACATAACATTACACAACATAGTATTCCTTTTCTAACAGTTTTTTTTCTACAGAGCTGAATTTGCTTCAGACATCAGGGTGGCTTGTCGATTGGCGAGATGATCTGCTGTGGTGGTCTATGACCTCAGACCCGTTCAATACCTTCATTGCCTCCCATGTCATCTCTTCGACAATTCCTTATACAAAATCAACCTTTCTCTTTTCCTTCTCTTTCTTTTTTCTTTTTTCCGAACATTAGTCAGTTCCTAACTGACCATTCCTCCTTTTGGTGAAATTGAAGTTGAATAAATTGGAATTTTTGCTTTAGCAATGATTTGGTCTGAGTCGTTATCGAATTTGTCGCTCTTGTTTTCAAATAATTTCCTTCAATTTCAAGAATGTCTTAGTTTTTCAAAGCAGTAACAATAAAATATGTTCAAGTAACGTTTATCCAACTTCTCACTAGATTTTTGAATGGTCTTAATTCATCATTCTTCTCATTTTGATTCTAAACACAACCTGTTTTGTCATTTTCTCAATTTTCCTCGTTCTTTCTTTTGCTCTGCGTTCCTTTCAATCTGTTCTTTCGGAAGCTTTCTTCTTTCACTTATAATTACTAGCTTCTTTAGAGTTTCCTCTAAAAGCGTTTCGATACACTAATTCCTTTTACATGCAGTGATCGTTCTTTTCAAGTAATTCAGTAAGCTGCACTGGAACGAGATTAACTTCTCAATTAGGTAAACAAACAAACAAACAACAGCATGCGAACGTTATTTAGAGCCGTCACCGTTTACATCACGTTTTACTGGTTCCTAGGATTTAAGCTCCTTTATAGAAGTCCCGTGCTTATCGCCAGTAGTACCAGTATTGCCGTTTGGACCAGATGCCAAAAAGAAGAAGAATACGTCACAGGAGCAGGCAGCTCAAAGTGGACGTGCAGGTTTGTGAGTTCTCTTTTTTTTTNTTTTTTTTTCGTTGGAAATACTGATTTAGTCTACTCGAAACGTTGACGGCAAGAAAAAAATCGCTGCAAATTTCTTAAAAAAGTGATTCTATTAAGATCTATTTATTCCAAAGATTTTTTAAGTTTCCCTTCTCCGCGGCCCATTCTCATAACTCTCACCCGTCAGTACAAAAAAGCTTTCTTTATCGACGCTGTTTGTTGTCTTTTGTCATTGTCATCGTCAGACTTGTCATTGTCATTGTCATATTTACCATTTTAACTTATTAGTGTGCCAATTTCCAGTTTGAGCGAATTATCGTAGGCGTTGCAGTCATAGCCGTGGCAGCTTCAGTAATGTCCAGATCCAATTCTTCTTAACCCTTGAAACTCCTCTCCAGACGAGAACTCAAGAGTGTAAAAATGAATGGGGCGCAATCTGTGTACCAGGAGGAACACAAAAGAACTTAGCAGTAGACCCACATACAAATATTATTATTCCTCCTTCTCCCGTTTTCTTTCTTTTTTCTTTCGTTCTTTCTTTTTCTTTCTCTTCTTCTTTCTTATCTTCTTCCAAGGTCAAAATTTGTCAAAGGTCAACTAATAGAGAACCCATGAGTGAACCCCCTCCCTTCACGCAAATCGCGCTAGATCTCAATCCCAGGCAATTCAGATAGATCAGAGACAGAAAATTTATTTGGGTTGCGTTCCAGCATTAGCTCAAGGGAGACAACGGGTGAGAAGAATATGGCCAGAACACATTGTACACGCAATGGTAAAACTGCCAGCGTTGAAGAGAAAGGGGTGTTCAACGAGTGTATATGTCCCTGCATGTGTGTGTATGTGTGCATGTGGGTGTAGGTGTGTGTGTGTGTTTGGGTATTTGTGCCTTTTGTGCCTTGTGTGTCGATGTGACCGATTGGTCAAGATGAAACTGTGTCGAGTCTAAACACACTCATGTACATATTTATTATGTTGTGCAGGGAGTATCTGTCGAAAATTCCCAATAGCTCAGTCTTTCCCCATATTTTCTGCGTTCTTCCATAAAAATACTAAAAAGACACTACTTACTTTTACGCTCACACATATCAGAAGACCTCATGATATTGCAACCGGTTTTCCGGAGGTTCTTCCTCGATCTCTTTGTTCCGAGCTATGAAGCGATTTGAGTTTGAAGGCCAAACGCTTGACTACGAGGCTCCTGCAGCGAAGTGTCCGATTCGAGCAAGTAGAGAAAAACGTGTTAAATATAGGAATCTTTTTGGATATCATGTGGTTCAATAAAAAAAAGAAGAGGAGGGGTAGCCGGTTATTTTATGCGCTTGCTCGTGAGGTAGTCCTTACACAGAAACCCTATGTGAGCTTACGGAAAATTCCCGGAGAATCTGGACTACTGCTGAATTTTCGTCATCACAGATGTTCGTCTAGGTGATTGTGCAACCTTGTTTACCTTGTGTTAGAAGGGTACAGATGGTGGGTCCACTAATTTTCCCACTCGCCTATGTCGACTTCAAGCGAGTGTGAAACATGCAATACATGTTCGTGCGAATTGGATTTTTCCAAAATCAAACGTCTCGTCTTTGTCGGCAGGATATGCATTCCGATGCATTCTGACATCCGGGGTATCTTCGATTTTTGAGCTGAGGGTCAAAGAACACTGATACCATCTTCCAGTACGCTCAAGTTCTCCGAGTGCAGTGAGTTCTCCGAGTGAATGCAGAGTGATCAAAGGAGTGTCTTTGAATTTCTCTCTTTTGTGATTGTTAGGGACATACTTAACTTTATTGAAATGGATCGCCAGAAGACTTTTCTAAGTAGCACAGAGGTAGGCATCCTTCACTGAAACTATGGATCGTAGTGATGGACTCTGAATAATGTATCGCCATTTTAATATCGTCTCCTATTGGGAATTGAGCAATTAGATATAAAAGACTCTGAAAAATCGAAAGAGCAAGGAAAATCAGGAAGAACTAAGTATCTACTTTCACTGCGATGAGGATGAGTACGATACCGGCTGCAATGACAGTCTTATACAAGTGAAGAATGACATCAAAAAAATGCCCGTAATCCGGAAGTACTAACCCATCGTATACACTGCTTTCGCTGCTGATGACCCTCACTGTAGATCAGTGAGCTCTGCGAATCCATTGCAAAATTCTCGTGATTTCGAAAGTTCTTTCAGAGCTGCCACACGAAACCTTACTACGCTTCATCAATCCTACCGATTTGTATGTGAAACGTAGCGTAGATGTCGTTCTTTCCTTCTTGTACGGAATTGTGAAGGGTTGATCACCGCATGTTATCGTAGCCATGGTTGGGTTCTCTCCAGTAGTACATGTTATCTCTGCAAATGCTCCTTGCGGGCAGGAAAGCATCCCTTTGCGGTGGACTTGAGAACAGTGCGTATTGAAACGGTCACCATTCTGACGGTCTTATCGAATTCTTCCCTCAGATTTATCAGGATCTCTGCCGTGATAAATACATACAAAAACATAAACGTAAACGAAGGAATCTGTGCCACAACTGTTGTCGGATCTTCCTTCGTTGTTGGGAAGGTTGTCCATGGACGTCGTATCGGAAAACGGTTTTCGATTTCTTTGGAAAACACGTCAGTGATTTTGAAGTCCGTGCACATACAGTACGCTTTATCCTCTGCTGGTTCACAATCACAGTCTGTGGTAACGGTGCAGATAAGCGAGCTAGCATGCTCATTTGATTCGCACAGAAGCTGTGGAATTTCTTTGTGGTTCCGAATGGGAATATGAGATAAAGGCAGATGACAACGTTGGAGTGGGTGGATATGAAAGATTGGTAAGAGTGATCCGCATCTTGTCCAACGTGAAGGGTATAGAAGGTTGCACTCTTGCAATCTTTCTGTTAGTAGGCTTGGCGTAGAGACGTGAGTAATCTCTAGTTCGAGTTCTTCCTTCCACTGAGAGCACTTGAAAAGTTCGTCCACGTTCTCATCCTGTGGTATATGGTAAGTCCGATAAAAATGGCAACCACTGCTAGGAGTTATACATCTACATCCGATCCCTCTACAGCTTTCTACACACTTTGTGATTCCAGGGAACTTGTTATATTGGGCAAGTTCTTTACTAAAGGAGGACTTGATAGATGCACAATTCTCTTCAACGTATGAGCCCCACCTGGGCACATCGTTTGTAGTCCACCCCTTTCTGGACGGTGTACCGAGTGAACGTGATCGTTTCCTTGACGCCCGTCAATGAAGCCCTTTCCAAACTCTTATTTTTTTTCTACCAAGTGATGGTTTTTGAGCCGAATACACGCGTCCTGGTTGAAGCTGTTGAGTTTTATGAGTTCAGTGGTTTCCAAAGCACATCGCATGATTCCCTCTGCGGAGAACGTGCAGAATGAATCATGATAAGTGAACACATCGATGCCCCGACAAGCGGACGCACTTGAAGCGTGCAAATGATGGCTAGTAGCGGTTTTGTCGACAGTGCTTCTTCATCGTATCGTTGTCTTCTGTGGCCCGGCTTGTGCAGCAGATCTTCCATAGTAGGTATCCTATAGTTCTGCACAACGACCATAACGCTTTGTCAAGGATGCGGCACGGTTTCTCGAACACCATCGGCACGTAGCACAGAGCGTAAAGCAACACGATCGAGATGTAAAGTAGGATGGTGATTGCCGTGATGGCCGCCCGAGGTGAACACTCGGGATTGGCTGTACAGAACCACCATCGAATGTGATCGCAGAACGACTGAGACGGCATGATGTTTCCAACACAGTAAGGTTCTGTCCATCGAAAAGCTCCAATTGTACGTCGTACTTGTGCAGAAGTATTTCCGGTGGGAGCGAATAGTTTCGTTTTCTTTTGGTTGGTCCTTCAGATAGCAGCAGGGGTTCCGGATTTCAGTAGTGCAACGAATCGACCCACTTTCCACGAGTTTCGTGGCAACGGGGGGTCTGAGATGAGCACAACGTTTTCAATCTCGGGCATAGAGGAGCTTCCTCGCTTGTCATCAATTGTGAGCTCATGCATTTCTCGAAGACCTCTTAAGTATTGCTCACTTCATACGACTCAGAAATGTTCTGTCAGCTGGCCCGTTTTGAGAGTTTTTCTGCTTGCTTTCTAGTCCACAGTTCTAACGCATCTTTAGACGGGACGTATTCTGCGTCTTCGTGTCCCTCGTCGACGGCTTCAAATGGGTAAGTGATTATCATGTTCCGCTGAATAAAGTCAAACGGTCGTTTCATAAAAGTTTCTTTCAACTTCTCTTACTGGTATGCCAAGGGTCTGCTGTCGAGAGTCCCTTCGATTTCTACGAGGAGTGTTTCCATTTGTTCCACTGATACGAGTGCTAGCTGCAATACTTTATAGAGGGACTGTTTCACTGTTTTTATCAAGCGTTCGTAAAGAACCCCCTGCCACGGAGCATATGGCATGATAGTCTTCCAGCCGATTTCCTTTTCAGTTGATGAAGTTGCAAATGAGGTGTGATTAATCATAGGAAGTACTGTTTGTCGTAGAATTTGTTCAGCAAGTAAAAAGGAAGAGCTAAGGCTCGATACTCTTCTTGCGAAGAATCTGTAAAGCGTGAAGTAGCTCAGTGGTCAACATATCCACTACAAGTTCGAGTCGTAGTGGTCGTGTACGGTACTGTAATGATGATTCCGTAAACCTTCGCCGTCAAGTCGGTTTGTGTGGCCTAAATTGGTCCGAAGTAGTCAATCCCAACGTGCCCGAAAGGGTGCGTCCGTTGTACTCTTTTGCTTGGCAAATGATCCATTTCTGGGTACATGAAAGGGAGATTGTTCAGTTTCTGACACAGTACGCATGATCGCAAAACTTTTTTCACGAGCTGCCTCAACTTGCCGGACGGAATCCAGAACTGTTGCCGGACGTTGGTCATCGTTTGTGCAATGCTACAGTGATGAGGGAGGTGCGCATCATATACATTAGCCTTCTCCAAGTTCCGAATTGGGAGCGACGAGCATTGGATGCTTGGCATCGGAGTCCATTAGGGCTTTTCCTTGCTGTCCTCGACATCTCAGAATACCGTTTTCATCCTCTCGAACATTCAATTGTTTCACCGTTTTTGTTCTGATGTGAAGTGAGTCTCCCGATGATGACTCGCTCGAACTTCGAGCTGCCTCAACTGGATTATAAAGTTGAGGCAGCTTGAACTACATAGAACTCGAACAGCCAACCTGTTTTCCACTGCAGCGATGAAGGGTTCTGATGTCATGTTACAGAGTTCAGGAATAGCATTCTGCAAGTGATCCTTCAGCTTCTCACTTACTCTTTCTGGAATGTTGTGGAAGAAGTGTAGAACATATGCCATCGTGCGCTTGGCTGTAATTAGCCGACTGTATCTAGACAATCTAGTATTGTAGATGGTTCTTCTGCTGCTTTTGCTACAAGACATACTTGCTCTTCGCTTTCCTCGGTTAGAAGAGTGAACAGACGGCTTGCTTCTGACCACGTCTCCGGATCATGCCTTATGAATGATGGTCCGTGCCACCACATGTGGCATCCCAATTCAGCTTTTGTGATTCCCCTCGTTTCATAGTCGACTGGGTTAATATCAGATGTTTTCACGTAACCAAAGCGAACAGTTGCTGGTATCTCCACAACAATTCTTCTTATTTGAACAACCCTGTTTTTGATCAGCACTCCATGCAATTTTTCGACTTTTGTTGCCTCAATCCAGTTGAGGGAGATTCCAAAAACGGAGAAGATCACCACGTTCTTATTGTTGACTTTATGCCGCAATGCCACATATATTGAGTGTGACAGTCTTGCTGCCATCGTGAGTGCATACAGCTCTAGTTTTGGCACGGTTCGACTATTCTTCAATTATGGTATTAGGTTGGCAAATGAGTCCTGCGACAAAATGGAGACCTTTTCTGAATCATTTCTAAATTTTTTCACATCAATCAATTTTCGGAAAAATATTTACCAAA